GGGGGGTTATGATTAGAGGGGATATCTCTTACCGCTGTGCCGTAGATGATAGCCGCCTCAATGCAGTTACCAACTAACGATACTGTTGACTGCCCGGAGGGGGGTTATGATTAGAGGGGATATCTCTTACCGCTGTGCCGTAGATGATAGCCGCCTCAATGCAGTAACCAACTAACGATACTGTTGACTGCCCGGAGGGGGGTTATGATTAGAGGGGATATCTCTTACCGCTGTGCCGTAGATGATAGCCGCCTCAATGCAGTAACCAACTAACGATACTGTTGACTGCCCGGAGGGGGGTTATGATTAGAAGGGCTATCTCTTACCGCTGTGCCGTAGATGATAGCCGCCTCAATGCAGTTACCAACTAACGATACTGTTGACTGCCCGGAGGGGGGTTATGATTAGAGCGGATATCTCTTACCGCTGTGCCGTAGATGATAGCCGCCTCAATGCAGTAACCAACTAACGATACTGTTGACTGCCCGGAGGGGGGTTATGATTAGAGGGGATATCTCTTACCGCTGTGCCGTAGATGATAGCCGCCTCAATGCAGTAACCAACTAACGATACTGTTGACTGTCCGGAGGGGGGGTTATGATTAGAGGGGATATCTCTTACCGCTGTGCCGTAGATGATAGCCGCCTCAATGCAGTAACCAACTAACGATACTGTTGACTGCCCGGAGGGGGGTTATGATTAGAGGGGATATCTCTTACCGCTGTGCCGTAGATGATAGCCGCCTCAATGCAGTAACCAACTAACGATACTGTTGACTGCCCGGAGGGGGGGTTATGATTAGAGGGGATATCTCTTACCGCTGTGCCGTAGATGATAGCCGCCTCAATGAAGTAACCAACTAACGATACTGTTGACTGCCCGGAGGGGGGTTATATTTAGAGCGGATATCTCTTACCGCTGTGCCGTAGATGATAGCCGCCTCAATGCAGTAACCAACTAACGATACTGTTGACTGTCCGGAGGGGGGTTATGATTAGAGGGATATCTCTTACCGCTGTGCCGTAGATGATAGCCGCCTCAATGCAGTAACCAACTAACGATACTGTTGACTGCCCGGAGGGGGGTTATGATTAGAGGGGATATCTCTTACCGCTGTGCCGTAGATGATAGCCGCCTCAATGCAGTTACCAACTAACGATACTGTTGACTGCCCCGAGGGGGGTTATGATTAGAGCGGATATCTCTTACCGCTGTGCCATAGATGATAGCCGCCTCAATGCAGTTACCAACTAACGATACTGTTGACTGCCCCGAGGGGGGTTATGATTAGAGGGGATATCTCTTACCGCTGTGCCGTAGATGATAGCCGCCTCAATGCAGTAACCAACTAACGATACTGTTGACTGTCCGGAGGGGGGTTATGATTAGAGGGGATATCTCTTACCGCTGTGCCGTAGAGGATAGCCGCCTCAATGCAGTAACCAACTAACGATACTGTTGACTGTCCGGAGGGGGGTTATGATTAGAGGGGATATCTCTTACCGCTGTGCCGTAGAGGATAGCCGCCTCAATGCAGTAACCAACTAACGATACTGTTGACTGTCCGGAGGGGGGTTATGATTAGAGGGGATATCTCTTACCGCTGTGCCGTAGATGATAGCCGCCTCAATGCAGTAACCAACTAACGATACTGTTGACTGCCCGGAGGGGGGTTATGATTAGAGCGGATATCTCTTACCGCTGTGCCGTAGATGATAGCCGCCTCAATGCAGTAACCAACTAACGATACTGTTGACTGCCCGGAGGGGGGTTATGATTAGAGGGGATATCTCTTACCGCTGTGCCGTAGATGATAGCCGCCTCAATGCAGTAACCAACTAACGATACTGTTGACTGTCCGGAGGGGGGTTATGATTAGAGGGGATATCTCTTACCGCTGTGCCGTAGATGATAGCCGCCTCAATGCAGTAACCAACTAACGATACTGTTGACTGCCCGGAGGGGGGTTATGATTAGAGGGGATATCTCTTACCGCTGTGCCGTAGATGATAGCCGCCTCAATGCAGTAACCAACTAAAGATACTGTTGACTGCCCGGAGGGGGGTTATGATTAGAGCGGATATCTCTTACCGCTGTGCCGTAGATGATAGCCGCCTCAATGCAGTTACCAACTAACGATACTGTTGACTGCCCGGAGGGGGGTTATGATTAGAGGGGATATCTCTTACCGCTGTGCCGTAGATGATAGCCGCCTCAATGCAGTAACCAACTAACGATACTGTTGACTGTCCGGAGGGGGGTTATGATTAGAGGGGATATCTCTTACCGCTGTGCCGTAGATGATAGCCGCCTCAATGCAGTAACCAACTAACGATACTGTTGACTGCCCCGAGGGGGGTTATGATTAGAGCGGATATCTCTTACCGCTGTGCCGTAGATGATAGCCGCCTCAATGCAGTAACCAACTAACGATACTGTTGACTGTCCGGAGGGGGGTTATGATTAGAGGGGATATCTCTTACCGCTGTGCCGTAGATGATAGCCGCCTCAATGCAGTAACCAACTAACGATACTGTTGACTGCCCGGAGGGGGTTATGATTAGAGGGGATATCTCTTACCGCTGTGCCGTAGATGATAGCCGCCTCAATGCAGTAACCAACTAACGATACTGTTGACTGTCCGGAGGGGGGTTATGATTAGAAGGGATATCTCCTACCGCTGTGCCGTAGATGATAGCCGCCTCAATGCAGTTACCAACTAACGATACTGTTGACTGCCCGGAGGGGGGTTATGATTAGAGGGGATATCTCTTACCGCTGTGCCGTAGATGATAGCCGCCTCAATGCAGTAACCAACTAACGATACTGTTGACTGTCCGGAGGGGGGTTATGATTAGAAGGGATATCTCCTACCGCTGTGCCGTAGATGATAGCCGCCTCAATGCAGTTACCAACTAACGATACTGTTGACTGCCCGGAGGGGGGTTATGATTAGAGGGGATATCTCTTACCGCTGTGCCGTAGATGATAGCCGCCTCAATGCAGTAACCAACTAAAGATACTGTTGACTGTCCGGAGGGTGGTTATGATTAGAGGGGATATCTCTTACCGCTGTGCCGTAGATGATAGCCGCCTCAATGCAGTAACCAACTAACGATACTGTTGACTGCCCGGAGGGGGGTTATGATTAGAGAGGATATCTCTTACCGCTGTGCCGTAGATGATAGCCGCCTCAATGCAGTAACCAACTAACGATACTGTTGACTGTCCGGAGGGGGGTTATGATTAGAGGGGATATCTCTTACTGCTGTGCCGTAGATGATAGCCGCCTCAATGCAGTAACCAACTAACGATACTGTTGACTGCCCGGAGGGGGGTTATGATTAGAGCGGATATCTCTTACCGCTGTGCCGTAGATGATAGCCGCCTCAATGCAGTTACCAACTAACGATACTGCTGACTATGTAGGAAGGGACCTCCGTTAACATAACTGGTGGACCCCAGTGGACGCGTACTTTAACACTGACCCTCCGGTCATAACTGGACAGAATTTACCTCTGAACGTCACAGCATTCGTGGCTGTCCAGGTTGGAGTAGAACTTCTCGTCATTCTTGTTATTGTTGACATAATTTTCATATATCCATGTGTTGTGCGGTTGTTATTGTTGACATAATTTTCATATATTAGTGTGTTGTGCGGTTGTGCGGAAATAATATCATGAACATTCAATCAATTATTCAATAAAGAATAACGTCATGAAGTGTATGCACCTGTGGGGCTGCTTGTACAAACCAGCTTTATATTTCTAGCTCACTAACATACCATGCCACAGTTTAACATGAATACCCCACTAAGACACAGTATATTGACTCCGGGTCGATATAAATTGCAATCTCATTCACTAGAGAATGGGCATTTCTTTCATGAACGAAAAACGGAAGCAACAACTGGTGTTTAATCAACGCTTTTCTTTTTTTCTTTTTTTTGGGGGGTGTGGATGTGGGTGGGGCGGCACTGTGGCCGAGTCGTGTCCTTAAAATGCTGTTATTCACTGTGTAGAGTTCAATGATCCAGTCATGTCATTATGTGTTCGAATGCCAGAGTTACTCTCATTATGACCACTATGACCCATGCGCGTAGATTTCACCAAAGTGGTAATCGTTCGGCTTTAAGGGGCTTAAACAAGGACTGGTCGGCTCGAAGTCAGTATACTGTGTCTCAGTGGGGTATTCATGTTAAACTGCGGCATGGTATCTCAGTGGGCTAGCACTATAAAGCGGCATCAGTCCGGACTAGTACAAGCAGCCACACACACACACGTGCATGCACATCGCTATATAAGTGCAATAATCTTGGACGCGACGTTAAACCCCATTTCACCTCACCTCACTTCACTAAACAGGGAAATAAATACCATGTACCCAACTGATTCTACGACTGTACGATTCACTAGTACAGGGTAGTCGTTTTTGGAAGGAAGCCACACCCGTACCCTTAGACGTACGCTTAGACTGTAACACGCGCCAATCGCTCGCCCCTCATTCTTGAATTATTGCCTGGTGGAGACGCATCATCTTCAAACCGCGCTTACCAGCCGAGGCACACGTACTAATCAAGGTAAGTTAATTTATGCATAAGGTTAATGCACGTATATTCATACAGCAAGGGGGAATCTTGAAGTTTGTTTTAGAAAAACAAAATATGAAAATACAAGAACAATAAACGTGAGATCCTTTCTCAATACCTGTAAGTACCTCACTATTATCAACAGAAATTAACAGACAGCAGAAAGTCTGTGGACTGTTAATATCCTAATGACAACTAACACTGTGTACGATTTATATGGACCGCTGAAGTGGGAAGAGTGTCAGCCACACCAGTCAAACCAGCGCCACCCACACACACACACACACACACACACACACACACACACACACACACACACACCAGCGCCATTCAGAATTTTCTATCGCAAAATGCATCTGATCGAATATTGACAAAAGTGAACAATAGTTATGCCACGTTTCAGGTGATTCTTTTAATGGTCGATGTTGCACATCGCTAGTGACACGTTACTCATGATACACACAGTTTTTATGACGAAATACGACACCATCAGACAGATCTAAACACTGATGAAAACACACCTTCATTGAGTCATCATATACTGCAGTAACGGCAACCGGTAACAAGAAATGTGTCTGTGTGTGTTTCAATACATGGTTGCTTTGGCAGTTTATACCAGGTCGGGTATATACAGTTCGAGTTTGAAATTAGAGGAAATGTGAAATCATTTTGCAAAATTGCGGTCGCTGATGGTGTGGCAAACACAAACATTAAATATCAATCTACAACAGTTACTTAATCTGTTCTCTATTGGTACATGTACATGTATTTATCTTCTCAACAGTATAAATGATCTGTACCGAAACGTCGCATCAAAATGAAATGTAGGAATTATAATCCATGGAAATATCTTGTCTTTACTGTTACTTGAAAACTTGTCAATCAAACAATATATACAAGTGGTGATTGTGTTTGTATTTTTTGCAGTTGTTGCACGTGCTTGTAGGAGATATCAGGACTGATGGAGCTGTCATACATTCTTCTTGCACTCGTGGCACTGGTGATGACTGTCTGCCTAAAGTTATTCAAAACAATGGGTTAGTGGAATGAATTGTTATATCTGAGTAAGTTATATATTCCAGTTGGAGCACTATATAGAACGGGGTAGAACAGGTCTTCAGCAACCCATGCTTGCCGTAAAAGGCGACTATACTTGTCGGGTGGTCAGGCTCGTTAACTTGGTTGATGCATGTCACCGTATCCCTTTTTGCGTAAATCGATGCTCGTGATGTTTGGTCATTTACAGATTGTAGCCATATAGCTGGAATATTGCTGAGTGTGGCGTTAAACAACACACAACAACAAATATTTAGAATGTTATGTTGTTTACATACAGTTGTTTATAATTTGAGGATGTTGTGGTTGACTTGATAAAAAGTGAATTCATGCAAACGTTGAAAAACTTATTACCACATTGGTTATTTGTGTAATTACATTTGCAGGAGGATCAGACACAGGACACCGACCCCCGGTACAGGAGACGGAGGTGGGGAGACGTGGGTCCTTCCAGCTGGTCACTTCCCATTCTGCCTACAATTACAATGTGCCAAGTCATTAGTGATTATGACATGACACAGTGTTATCTATAAGATGCTGGTGTGAATCATGTAATAATCTCTTTTTTAAGCAGAGTAAAGATGTTCATCTTATCATTTCTTGAGCATAAGCATCAAACATACTCACATCAATCATATCAATTTAATACTTTGAAGATCAATATTATGCATTCCGCAACATAAGTTTGCCCAGCCAAGCCTCCGAGTTCAAGACGCTTCCACAGGTCCATGCCCACGTGAGAAGAGATGTACCTCTTGTTCCCCTGAACCATGCGGAAGGGTGGCACCATCAGCTGAAGAACATGTTCTGCAAGGCCCATCCGACCGAAAACGGACACGGGATTTGTTTTTATATGTGAAGCAGTTTTGAAACACTGAATTTTGTTTATGTTCAAATTCACAATAACACAAATGTACTCTAATTCTCAAAATGTTATTCACATGCTTAAAATATTGTTGCTGAAAATAAAACAGGCGATTCATCATTCATATTTATGATAATCCTCTGTGACTTATCAGCTCATGTAAAACACTAGAATAGCAACCTCAGAGTTTGAATACTGGTCTACTCCAGACTACAGGGTTCGGCTTCACAAAGCGACCGTAGGGCTACGACTACCGGAAGTCTATGTTGAGGTACAGGAGTAACGACAGTCGTACCGCTATGATCACTTCGTCACATGGACCCGAACTCAAGGAGGAAACGAGAAAACAAAGACGACCTACTGTGTTGGCACAAAGGAATTAAAACTTGATATAATACTAATTGTGATTATGGATTCAAGTTTTATATGAATCCCCGTATATATTTATATTCAACAAGATTCGATACACTACACAGTATTACTTGAGTTGTATACAACGCCAACACTGTAATCTGTGTTGTTGACAAGATTTTCTCAGATTGAGGATGAAGACTGAGAGTATGTATTTTAAAACAGTTATAGCATAAGATGGGATCATGTGTTGATTCCGCAAGCATAGTCGCCTCCTACGATTAGCATAAGTTGCTGAAGACCAATTCCTACCCGGATCTTCACGGGTCTCTATCGTATATGAGTACTGTGGGTGTATGCGTTACAGGGCTCAAAGGTAATAGAAATAACAGTCATGAAGCTTTATTGTTGTTCAATAGTACAAATTGAATTCAATCGACCTTAGCTCAGTTGTCGCATGTAAAAGCTATCTGGTGCAGTTCATACCAGAGGTTTACTTATCAGGTCTCATCTGAAAAATAGCATGGCGTAGTTACATTGCCCCAAGGAAAAAGCAATTGCTGAGAAATTCCACAGATAAAAGTTAGTGAATTCGTGTTGGTCTTTAACCAGGTATGTGCACATCACGATTTCTTGCCTTATTAAGATTAAAAAAACTTCTTCCAGGTATTCATTAACAGAGACCTGTACATGTAGGATCTATCAGGACTGATGTAGCTGAAACAAATTCTTCTTGCACCGGTGGTGCTGATGGTGACTGTCTGTCTGATGCGGCGAAGCTGATCACCATGAGGAATTGGATTTTCTTTGACAGTTATTCGTCACGATAACGCTGCATTATTTTGGTCACTACGACGTTTGAATTACAACGTACTCCTGACTTGAGTAACACAGGAACTATTTAAAATGTATAAGGCACAAAGCTATAGTGGCAGCTGATATCAGGTGCATATCATATCTTTGTTACTATTTTAGGCACCAAAAGTACTATTATACCACAACGAGAGGTTTCATAAAAGAGTTGCCGTATCTGTAGGAAGATAAAACATTTCCAGCATATGTACTACATTTTAAGTCTGTGACTACAAGGCCACGACATTCACTGTTAAAGCAGTAGGGTTGCACAGTGGTTCAAATGTTATTCGCCGATCGGGATCAATTACCTGTAATGGTACAATATGTGAAGCTCACAATAAACTTGGTGACTCCCAACTCACTGCCACCCCCACACCTACGCCACCCATTTCCACCCACCCACACACTCATCGAGAACCTACACACGGACCCAGGTATCTGAAGCATAATTATTAGTCTGTCACAGCTTCAGTCAACATGCCGACAAGCATTATCATTTATAGAATATAGTGTAATGTCACATAATGTAAAAAAAACACACATTTCTTTGTAAGATACGGTATTGGTTGATTTGGTCTTGGGATTTGTATTACCATCTGAAGCACTTGTGAAACACTGAATTATGTTTTATGTTCAATTTCACAATGGTACAAAGGTACTGTAACGTTAAATACTAGCATGTTATTAATAGTGTTATGTATAACATATTGCTACTGAAAATATGTCTATGAACTATTTATGCGTCATATCTTTCTTTCAATAAATTGTAAACCAGATTTTGTTTGACAGTTTGGTCCAGGAAATCATAGGCTGTAGTCACAGTGCTACATACTTCTGCAGTATATCACATATGGGTAGCAGATCTTTGTAAACCGCGTACTGTTTCCCATGCCAGTTATATAATCTTGAGTCATTTATCCATGGTTGTGAATATCAAGTTATATATATATCTGCAGTATATCACATATGGGTAGCAGATCTTTGTAAACGTACTGTTTCTCATGCCATTGTTATAATCTTGAGTCATTTATCCATAGTTGTGAATATTAAGTCCCAGTCAAATGAGCACATTCTTTTGAACCAATTATTTCGGAAAAAAACTACTTGGCTAACTTAAGGTGCTGCTTTACCAGTCAGTGTCACGAAACAGATCGTGAGACATCGTGTTATCGTGGCGTAGATCGTTCCTCTTTCTTTCCGACAATGCTATGGTAGCTGGTCAGGACGTGGTAATTACAAGCTATAGAAGATAGCCTTGAGATAATATCATAAACATTCAATCAATTATTCAATAAAAAAATAACGCCATTAAGTGTATGCACGTGTGGGGCTGCTTGTACAAATCCGGCTATATATTTCTAGCTCACTGACATATCATGACGCAGTTTAACATGAATACCCCACTCAGACACAGTATACTGACCCCGAGCCGACCAGACCTTGTGTTAGCCCCTTAATGTATGTGTTTGTGTGGCTGCTTGTACTAGTCCGGACTTATGCCGATGTATAGTGCTAGCTCACTGAGATACCATGCCGCAGTTTAACATGAATACCCCACTCAGACACAGTATACTGACTCCGGGTCGATATAAATCACATTCACTAGAGAATGGGCATTTCTTTCCTGAATGAAACACGGAAGCAACAACTGGTGTTTGATCAACGCTTGGAGCGCAGCTACCAGATAGGGAAAAAACTGGGTGTTTTATATCGAGTCGTCTCCTTAAAATGCTGTTATTCACTGTGTAGAGTTCAATGATCCAGTCATGTCATTATGTGTTCGAATGCATGAGTCACTCTCATTATGACCACTATGACCCATGCGCGTAGATTTTACCAAAGTGGTAATTTGACCTGCATCAATGTCTATACCTAACAGGGGACCGCCTCCGTGGTCTAGTGGTAGAGCGTCCGCCCGGAAAGCGGAAGGTCCAGGGTTCGATCCCCGGCCGCTTATACCAATAGAAAAGATGGTACTTGTTGCTACCCTGTCTGACGCTCGGCATTAAGGGGCTAAAACAAGGACTGGTCGGCTCGGAGTCAGTATACTTAGACGTACGCTTAGACTGTTACCAGTGCCAGTCGCCCACCCCTCAAACTTGAATTATTGCCTGGTGGAGAAGCATAATCTTCAAACAGCGCTTACCAGCCGAGACACACGTACTAATCAGGGTAAGTTAATTTATGCATAAGGTTAATGACCGTATATTAATACACCAAGTGGGAGTCTTGAAGTTTGTTTTAGAAAAACAAAATATGAAAATACAAGAACAATAAACGTGAGATCCTTTCTCAATAACTGTAAATACCTCACTATTATCAACAGAAATTAACAGACAGCAGAAATTCTGTGGACTGTTAATATCCTAATGTTGTTGTATATTCAATAAATATTAATCTCGAATGCCTACCAACACTGTGTAGGATTTATATCAACCGCTAAAGTGGGAAGAGTGTCAGCCACACCAGTCAAACCAGCAACACACACACACACACACACACACACACACACACACACACACACACACACACACACACACACACACACACACACACACACACACACACACACCATACATAAACACACCATTGCCGGACTCACACACACACCAGTGCCGCACACACACATCAGCAGAACACACATACAAGCGCCACACACACACATACCAACGGAACACAAACACCAACGGAACACACACCAGCGTCATACACACCAGAGCCGCACACACATACCAGCGCCACGCATACACACCAGCGCCACACACACACCAGCGCCACACATACACACCAGAGGAACAAACACCAGCGCCACACATACACACCAGCGCCACACATAGACACTAGAGGAACAAACACCAGCGCCACACATACACACCAGCGCCACACATACACACCAGAAGAACACATACACACACCAAAGGAACAAACACCACCGCCACACATACACACTAGCGCCATACATACACACCATACACACACCAGCGCCACACATACACACAAAAACCAGCGTAAACATATCCCCGGCAAGTCGCTAATAGTTTTTATTTTATTTTAATCAACCCGTTTTGATATGTTTATAACTACTGTGAGATTCGAGTTATCAGGATAAATCATTTTAATAAACAACGTAAATTTAAACCCCTTATTCAGAATTTGCTATCGCAAAATGCGAGTGCTCTTATATTATCAAAAATGACGAAAGTGACGAGTTATTATGCCACTGCGTGATTCACGTTTTAGGTGATTCTCTTATCTCTTAACGGGATATAAACTTAAACTTATCAACTTAACGGGAAATCCGTTAACATAACTGGTGGACCAAAGTGGACGCGTACTGTAACACTGACCCTCCTGTCATAACGGGACTGGTACAGAATTCACCTCTGTACGTCACAGCATTCGTGGCTGTCCAGGTTAGAGTAGAACTTCTCGTGATTCTTGTTAGTGTTGATATAATTTTTCATATATTAATGTGTTGTGCTGTTGTTACTAGAAGAACCGCTGTGTGATTCAAGTTCAGGTGATTCTCCTCATCCGTTACTAGTCGATGTCACACATGACCGCCCCATGTTACAGAGGATGTGCATATCGGCTATACCGGTGATAACCGGTGCATGCTTATTGTAAGACTGGTGTTGCAGTAATAATTCGGAATTCACTGCAGTTAGTCACAGGTTCGTCAATGTCCAGGTGTGAGTAGTCCTTATCGTGATGCTTGTTATTGTTGAGATAATTTTCATATATTCATGTGTTGTGCTGTTGTATTGCTCGTGTCCTGATTTGTATCCCAATAAGCGTGATCGTATAAAATGGACACTGTGTAAACCGGACTCGGTTCACGTTAACTGATGGTCCTGGGAATTAAAGACAGCTGTGCAATCATGCGTAGCCCGACGCGTCACCGATAACTAGTAAATGACTTTTGTCAATGTGACACTTATATTTCGAGGGTCATATGTCACGGTTCGTCTGTAAAATTAAGAATTGAGTCTGGGTAAATGTTAAACTGGTAATCATGCCTTGTGGTAAGCAGGCCAGTTCAGATCATAAACTCCCGTACACCCAGCTAGTGACACGTTACTCATGACACAAACAGTTTTTTTATGACGAAATACGACACCATCAGACAGAAATGTCCTCCAAGTAGAGTTATCTGAACACTAAGGAAAACACAGCTTCATTAAGTTATCATATACTGCAATAACGGCAACCGGTAACAAGAAATGTGTCTGTGTGTGTTTCAATACACGGTTGCTTTGGCAGTTTATACGAGGTCAGGTATATACAGTTCGAGTTTGAAATCAGAGGAAATGTGAAATCATTTTGCAAAATTGCGGTAGCTGATGGTGTGGCAAACACAAACATTAAATATCAATCTACAACTTGTTTGATAGGCATTACTTAGAAGTTGACGGATGACAAGATAGACACAATTTTTATGGATAACAACTTCTTTAACACTGTGAAAAGCGACGTTTCGGTATAGATCATTATACCGTTGTCAAGCAGGCGGTCTCGTGATTGTAGGAGATATCAGGACTTATCGAGCTCTCATACATTCTTCTTGCACTAGTGGCGCTGGTGATGACTGTCTGCCTAATGTTATTCAAAACAATGGGTTAGTGGAATGAATTGTTATATCTAGGTAAGTTTTCAGGACGTACAGGGCTGAGTCGAAATTTGTATATTAATAAGGAAACGGCATATTGTTTGGGACGTACCGGCCGCCGTCTTTTGTATTGTGAATAGTCATTCATTTAAATGACACGCATACACATCCAGTATGCCTAGTTCAGAGTTCAGCTAACTCATATAGCACGCACCATCGGCCTCACACAGTGTGCGTGCTATATAAGTAGGCTGAACCATTCAGAGTAACGTTAGGTGTGGAATACATTATGCGGCATAAGGCAACAAACAAACAGTCAAGATTATCTTGTGATGAAATTGTGTGCTACTGGTGGAGCAGAACAAGCTTGTGTCGTCACTGATTTTCAATTCATATATTTTTCATCACTGTTTTGCCTTTTACGCTCAAGATTTTATGACTTTGGCGTTTTGAACCTACGGGCACTAACGAAGATTTCTTACCAGGTATATGAATAGCATCATTGTTGTTATCACTGAGATTTGATGTACTTGAGATGCGATTAATGTTTGTTTGATGTGTTATGAATGTAACATATAGGTAACAAAATTATACTTCCCAAATTAGTAGATACTGAATATCAAACCCGAATCTTAATATTTTGTTCTGATCGGGTTATACATGCTTCTATTAAACATAAATATAAGTTTGTGCTGTCTTAATATATTCCCAGCTAAATCTTCTGACAGAAGGTACGGGTACGTGTGGGGCTGACAGTCATTTAGACTTGTAGGATAAATAACACAGGGGATTGTTTTTTGAGAGGAGCAACTTACAAACCCACTTTAATAACATTCCCACAACATATTTTGTGAGAAAAATAACACAGTGGTTTGGTTTTTGAGAGGAGCAACCCACTTTAATAACATTCACACAACGTATTTTGTGAGATAAATAACACGGTGTTTTTTGTTGAAAGAAGCAACCAACAAACCCACTTTGATAACATTCCCAAAACATATTTTAGTATTGTGAATATCCATGAATCGGTGACACGTATGTGTTTATATGCCTCTGTAATCTCTGAAATGACTCATTCTTAAGCGACATCTGCTTATGTAAGTTCTTGAAGGGTTGAAGCCGGCTTTGAACGTTTGTTTTCTCTATCGTATAGTAACACATACGGCGCTGTTTAATACCAGAGGGGGATTAAATACAATCAATTTAATTATAATTCAATTATGCATTCTAAAGTGCTGAAAAAAAGGAAATAGTTGAAAAGTGAGCACAATGTGACAGGTGATCTTCTCTTCGCGATGTTGCGACATTGGAAAGGGAAATAGCTGAGTTATGAAAATTTATTGATGCGTTCGTAAATGATTCGGGTTTTAGGGGATTTCCCCCAAACGCGTTTGTTTCCCCCGTACTTTTCAGATTAGTGGCACAGTCTGTACATTTTGTACTGAGAACTTTATAAATGTAAACTTATTCCACAGAATACAGAATACAAATATGCCGCTTTTATGCTTTAGTAATGAGTGCTACCATGCATCTTTTGTTGATAATGTCCAACCTAAGTGATATTGAAGATCCAATTTGAATTTGTAAACATTCCAAAAATGGCCACCATTTACCTATGAAGAAGTTTATAATACAGCCATTGAGGTCGGATGATGACGTTCTTCTATCGTATATGTTTTGTTTGTTTCTAAACATCGCACTCACTATTATTCCATCTCTATGACGGCGTTCTGTTAATAATCGGGTAATCCAGAGATCGATATCATGAGCATCGATCCACGCAACTGGCATACGTTGACATGCATCAATCAAGTCAGCAAGCCAGACCAACCGATCCAGCTAGTTATCTCTTACAAGCAGAGTCGCCTCTTACGACAAGTATGGATTGATGAAGACCTATTCTACACCGGAACATACTTAGTATTTAGGGTTTATGAGTTTCATGGCTCATCATGGGTTTATAAGTTGTCGCAAGTAATGGGGATCTGTACTTGTAGGAGATGTCAGGAATTATGGAACTGTCAAACATTCTTCTTGCACTGTTGGTATTGGTGGTGGCTGTCTGCCTGGTGCGGTGGATGAGATCATCCCTTGATGGCTGGAATGGCTACATGCAGAACGCCGATGAAGGTGAGTACCATGATGAAGCACATGTTCCTCAATAATTCTTCAGAGTTGATTCATGACTATAATGTGTCCAATAATTACACTGCATTACGATGGTCACTACGATGTATGAATTACAATGTTCTCCTGGCTGGAGTAACACAGGGAGAAACCTACAAACATATCTGTCATAAAGTTATAATATATTATATCAGGTAATATTCAATTCATATAAACTGTTTAATGAACCCAAAGTATTATTCATTACAATCGCTTCTTGCAAGAGAAGTCAAATTTTAATGAAGGTTACATAATTTCAGCCTGTGCTGCATTAGAATACTCGATAAAGAGCGGAAAAATATATCAGTTGAGAAATTGATTAGCACATGAGTTATTTGTATCTGTACATGTGCAGGGGAGGCCTTAGCGGAGCCTGGACACCAGGTTCAGGAGACAGAGGAGGGGAGACGGGGACCCACCCGACTGGTTGTGCAGTGAATACCATCTGCTGAATTTATATGTGGGCGTGCTTTTCTAGGACTCTCATGCTCGAAGTTTTCCAACACAGACTCAGACAACGTTCCGGACTGAATAAAGCGTTAATTTAGATTTGACTTCCAAAAAACAAATGAAAAGGGTTATTGATTCAAATGTCTGTCATATTTTTGCTATATCATTAGTTTGAATCTCAGGTTCTGGTCTTAAGAACAAACACAACAAACATAACATGCACAAACAGCAGTACAGAGACATCACAATGTCAAATGACAAACATCATTCAGTGATCTCAGTGTCCTCAAGCTCGAGTTCGTAATCCTAATGGTCTTGTATATGTGGAAAAAATAAATGTCGTATGACGTGAAACGCTGTTCATGATTTAAGTGCAGTCATTGCACTTGTAGCAGACATGTACAGTAATTTAACACATTACTGTTTTCTGAATTGAGAAGAATATTCATTGATTGTGGATGTATGTGCTTATTACATTATTCTTTGGTATTTCTCCGGTGTTTTTCACAAATCATTTAAAGCTGGAAATCCATTCTTAATATAACCTCTTTCACATTTTGTACATACGCTTTTAACAGCTACATGTAATGTCCTTAGATCTACAAAGTTTATTTACAAGCCATGATTAGTTTCTTTTACAGTGTCTTTGTGCATTGCCGATTTACTATGAAATTCCCCGAATGTAGTTCTATTGTGGTACCTTTTTCTTTCAATTGGATAATAACTTCACTTTTGAATATGAAACTTGACTGGCAAGAGAATCGATTCAAATGTTTCAAAAGAATAAGAAAGAGAAGAGAACTTTTTATTTTATCTGTCAAAGGTTTCATGAGACTGAAAAGGAGGAGAACTATAAACAAGACCAGATCGCAATCATAGTTTAATTCACCTGCTTGTTAGCAATGTGATTTTAAAAAAGGATTCTGTGGTATGCAACAAAATTGCCAAAGTGTCATAAAATCTCCTTCATTCAACAAACAATAGTTTGTTTACATAATTTTCATAGAATATTTTACTGTGAATTATTTGCAGTTAGTAGGAATATTATTAACATATAACAACGGGTTTCCTCAGAAATTCTTCGTAATTATTTCGTTTCACTTTATTACTGTATTTGCCAAATGCTTCAAAACAATCTTTCCAAAAATTGGTGGGGATATTTCTGCCTAGCCGCAGTTGATAGTCATTGCCATCAATGTCAAATCAATACAATTTGGAAGGATTTTATTTTAGCATGTTTCTATTCCTTTTCAAAACCAACACCAAGCAGTCTCTCAATCAACGTAACCTCCAATGAATCCATGCAAACAAAATACATTCATTATTCCATGTCAACCTCCAGCAACAGGCCTACCGCCTACTGTTCTTTCACTTCTGGCAGGTTTCTTATACCAGATTAAGTTAAAATGAATGGCGTAAAATATCTCCAGATGGGTTTGGAACGGTTAGAGAAAGCAAATCTCACTTTGAAATCGGCAGCTACTTAATATATCATTTTTTTCAAATGGAGTGATGGTTCTTTTCAACTTATGATTGATAATGTTTCAATATCATACATTTTGCCATCAAACATTTTGTCACTGTCAACTACAAATTGTATACCCAAGATTTTGAACATTTCTGGATTCCAATCAAGGTTCAGATCTTATCTATATCTAACTTGGCTGTATATGTTAGAACCTGTCCAGAAAACTTGGCATTTATCATAGTTCATTTTAAGCCCAGAAATTTGTGCAACAGTTAGTCCGTGAATATTTGGAGGCGATTTTATCGCAAAACATATATTTTCCCCGAAACTTCTTGACAAAAATACTTATGCCCCATATTAGTGAGAAGGTAAGAAGTTGTCGGCCACAAAAAGTAGATTGTTGTAAAGTGTATTTTTATTAAAAATATATTTTGGTTTCCACTCCGCCCCAAGGTGACAGTATTGAAACCCAGTTCAAGACGCCGCCCTCAAATCCGAAGAATGCTAGAGTTTTAACATTAAAAGACCAAAAGACAGAATCAAAGGACTTTTTTGCAATCTACAAGCTGTAACATTCTTGTGATCTGGTGAGATTCTGCATATAGTAATACATATATAAATATATGTATACCATACAGCATACGTTTGTACTCAACAAGCTACCTGCCTTTAAGCGAGTCAGATCTTCAATTGTGAGCTTAGAAAGAACCTTCTTCAATCTATCTGCAATAATAGATGATAATAGCCTATAAGTTGAATTCAAAAGCTACACAGGGCGCCAATTTCTAAGAAATAGTTACTGTCTTGGTTTATCCCCTACTGGTATAGAAGTTGGTATTCCTGATGTTTGTGTCACCGACAATTCCTCAACCAAATAGCTATAATGTAGGACTCGTAATAGGACATCGCCCAATATTGTTTTCAGATGTATTAGGTGCTATCAAAAGTTTATGATTAGTAATAAGGCCATCACTAAGGTCTGATTCATTTGTTTCAACTTTGCATACATCATTCTATGTCAATAATTTGTTAAAATCCATATCTTTAACTAGGTGTTATCTAGATGAAATTCATCCTTATTACAACCTCTATGAAATTGTGTACGTATGGTTTTTAACAGCTAATATCCTTAGATCTACGAACTGGTTTTCCTTTTAGAATGCGCAGCTGAGCAAACGACAATGTTAACATATACAGGTTACAGTATTTAACATTAGTCAATGTGTAAAAAGACTTGGGAGCGGACCATTTGATATTTACGGTGTAGGTGCGGTTTTTTGTTTTGGTACAGTCGTGGGTTTTTATCTTTATTTTGGGGGGCTGAGAATTTTTTTTCTTCTTAAAAGAGAGCTGATGTTTTCATGGCATCTTTCAAATTCAAGCTCTGGAAAGAATGTTTCAATTTTCTCAATGTGATTTTAAAACAGAACAATGAAATTAGCAGTATATTAAGCATTTTTATATAATAAAATACCATACGTAAGATCGCCGTAAGGGGGTGTTAATAGACATATATAGATAGCATTGAGGAATTAGGGGCCTGCAGAATGTGATTCATCCATGAAATGTACACGCACACGCTATACTTTGGCCGAATTCAGAGTTAAGCCAATCACATCACACTGGTGTAATGCTAGGTCGTCATAATCACTGCTCCGGATCGTGATTCATTCATGAAATTTACACGCATGCGCTATACTTTTGCCGAGTTCAGAGTTAAGCCAATCATATCCCACTGGTGTAATGCTAGGTCGTCATAATCGCTGCTCCGGAATGCCATTTGTTCATCGAAATTACACGCATGCTCTATACTTTGCCCGAGTTCAGAGTTCAGCCAATCATATCGCACTGACGCCGTGGACGTGAATTGAATGGACTGCTGTAACACACTCAATGCATTGCCGACATGACCATTAGTGCAGATCGACAAATGTCATTTGTAGTTATAAAGAGAAGTAATAGTAAATAGTACACGGGACCCGGGAAATGTTTCAGGTCGTCGTGGAGGGCAGGTGTATTGTTGGATGCAGCTTTACACAACACACGAACACTCACGATTACCTCTTGATGGAAATTGTGTGAGTGGCGGGAGCTGCTGGTAGAGCAGAACAAACTTACCCTTTTCGCGAACACCTATATAACAATTTCTTTTTCATTATTATTTTTGCTTTCAACGCCCTGTATAAGATAGCTACGCGATAAATCGTAAAGGAGAATGAAGAACCAAGCGTGGTTTAGTTCACGATAAAACATTGTTGTATCATTACGTCATTTCTGGAGATTCGAACATGCGCTCGCAAACTTGATGAAGTCGTATATTGAACAACGTTATGTCTGAGAGGGAAATGTATAGTGCGTATCATCCTTAAAGAGGCTGTACATAATGTTTATATCTCATATGAGAAATAAACGATGTCGTTCTATATCGTATAATAAAACACTGCAGGTAGAATAAACCACTCGGGGCGGTGCCCCTCAAGCTTTACCCCCCCCCCCCCCCCCCAGTGTTTTATTGTACTATAAACAACTCCCACTCGTCGTTTTAGTTTTAGATCTAAGCCCTGTTCAAGATTACTTATTCTTTAACGTTGACGGTTTGAACCTTCAGGCACTCCTTATAATCAGGTATGTGTACAGTATGATTCTTGTTATCATTGAGATTTGATATACTTGTGATGTAATTAATGTGCATTTAATGTGAATATGACATGTATATAACCACATGCATGATAGGTAATGTGCTACTGTGCATCTACTGCTGATAATGACCAAAATATTTTACCCTGAATATCAAATTTGATTCTCAATATATTGTTCTGATCAGATCACACTTGTTTCCAGCAAACATGGCAACTTAATTGTGTATGAGTTTGTGCTGTCGCAATACATTTGAAGCGAATTCTTGACAGAGGGTACAAATGCCTGTAGACCAGTTTCTCAGTCACTTGTACTTGTGGGTTAAATATAAGTTGTTTTTGTTGAGAGGAGCAACTTACTCACCAAAACTTTGAAAACCTTCCCATCGCATATTTTAGAGAGTCGGATTTCCTCTGAGCCGGTTGTTTAATAAATAATAAGTCGTGTGTGGTTTTATAGTGGAAGTTGTAGTGAGAGGGTCACTCTGTCTCGACTATATTACATATGTTGATGTAAACTTATCTGATAAAAAACGGTTACGCTGTTACCTTTTCCGGTGCTGACTGAATAATAGCAGAGGTTTCCTGTTTGCTACGGAAACCCCTTTTAAATATAGTAAGCCTTTTCACACAAAAAAACGTGCGCATGAATACATCGATACCCTACATATCGATTCATAAAAAAACGGCTGCCGATCGATCGCCCATAAGAACTGTAATACGTTTCGATATGTCCTCTATGGCGTCCATTTGAGGAAGTACGGTAGTTTGATTTCGGATGTTTTGGTCGACGATATGTTGCTCTTGGCTGTAACCCTGACTGCTAGTGGTTAAAGCCGGGTTCGATTCCCAACATGGGTAAAATGTGTGAAGCCCATTTCTGGTCGTAGGGTACTGAATACAAATTTTCAGAGATATAGACATGATCAACATCAATTAGTGATCTTAGGGCACCTAACTGCCACTTAAGGTAGTGGAATTTAGTGGATTTAATCCCGTCACGTCGAGGAA